CAACTTACAAAGAAGTACATGGAAAGCGCTAAAACCGCGGCGCTTTCTGGTGAAAAATCCCTCCCGGCTTCGCAGCCCCGCCACGGCTGCGCTCCCCCTCCCAGTCTCCTCCCCCGCCCCTCCAGCACAGGGGGAAGGAAACTTTCTTTGCCACCGCGAACCTGAGTTTGAGACACGCAACAAGGCTTGGCTATTTTTCCCCCCTCTTCCTGCGGGGGGAAGGAGGAGGGAGGCAGCCGTGGGGGCCCGGGGCAGCTGACCGACGTTCGCTTCTCTAAAGCACTAGTGCTAGGATTCGTGCTTCGGACCGTGCGGGCTGGTCGGGAAAACTAGACAAGCTTTCCACCTTTTTTTGTTTGTTTGTTTTGTTTACACTTTCTTTAGTTTTCCTTTTAAATTTTTTTCCCTTTAATTTTTTTAAAAATTTGTTTCTCCCCGTGGATCGGGGAAAGCTGCGTCCCCGCGGTCCACGGGGCCGGGATCTGCGCTCTCCCAGCCTCCCCCCCGCCGCGGAAGCTCCCGCACGCCCCCGGCCCCGGCTCTCACCTGGCTGGCTGGCGGAGCTCTGTACGCGGTTGTAAGCCCCGCTGTACTGGTGGTAGGGGCTGGCGTAGCTGTAGTCTGCGTAGGCTTTGGCAGGATAGTTCCCGGCAGATCCGTTCATGCCGTGGTACTGATACTGGTAAGGGTTGAGCGCTTTGCCGTAGGAAGCCGAGGTAGGCGAGCAGTAGCCGTGCGGGGCTCCCCCCGCCGGGCTGTAGTAGTCGGAATCCGTAGCCGAGGACTCGGGTAAAGTGGGAGATTCCTGGGACGGGTGGTGCATGGCTGCGGCCGTCTGGAAAGGAGCCTGGAAGTCGCCGGATCTGATGTTGGGGACCCTTCTGTCAAATACTCCTGTCATAGCTCGGAGCCGGCGGCTGGCTGGGGCTGGCTGCTGGGGCTGCTCGGGTCTAAGCAGACATGTCTGGGGGAGGAGGCTGCGGCGCTGTGTCTGTCTCCGGCAGACTGCTGGCTGGGGCGCAGCATAGGCTTGGTTAAATCCTTAATTGCGCTCTTACGCACAGCAGGGTGGATCGGGTTCCATTGGCCAGAGCAATCGGGAGCAGCGACACCCTAACTCGTCCAACTAGTTTAGCACAACAAAGCTTTGGCTTAAAAAAAAAAAAAAAAAAAAGTCCCATTCAGGCTCTTTTAAAGAGAATACCAACAGCGATCTCCGAGCCGGAGCGTCGCGATCGGGAGGTTTCCGGCTCCCCCCGCGCCCCCCCCGCAGCCGGCGAGGGGTCTCGGCCGGCCCCGCCGCCCCGCGGGCGCGCAG